TGATACCATGTTAGAATACAAAGCTTGCATAACAATGGTAATTGAACAGATTGAAGAAGATGAAGAAGAAAGGAAAGATTGCATTAGATGTGTAATCGGGAAAAAGAAAAGTAAGTGTACAATGGGGTAGCAGCCCTTTTATACTTAGGGTTACCAAAGGGGCAGAGGGGCAGAAATGTAAATTACATATGATCCTATAGTTGTTATTCACACAACTGTACAAGAAATCTATTTTACATAAAAGACCTATAGTTGCTATAGCAACTGTACAATAAATCTAACCTATATACTAATATCGATCAACCGATCAGCTTATCGATTACCCACAGAAACTTCCCGAGGAAGATTGGACCTTTATCGTTTGAACCAAAATTGGCAAAGCAAATAGCACCGACCAAGCTGTCGCATTTACTTTTGCATGAAAACACGTGACGCCATCATACACCACTACAAGAAAATGATGAAATTCCAACGGAAATTTATTATAATAGAATGATTCCAACGACAATTCCAACGAATATTTCAATACTATTATTTCCGTTGGAATTTTTCAATGGGTTACAACGGAAATTCCAACAGAAATATTCCGTTGGAATGAGTTTTCCATTGGAATTTCCGTTGGATTTTGACGATTCCAACGGTGGATTTTCCAACGGGGGTGGAAATAAAATTCCAACGGAAATCGCATATTTCAACGAAAATTCCTACGGTAAAAAGCCGTTGGAAATATAGCCGTTGGAATCACCAAATTCCATCTAAAATTCCAATGAAAAACACATTCCAATGGAATATTTCCTTTAGAATTTCCATTGAAACCATTCCAACTGAAGCTATACCATTGGAATATCTGTTGGAATTTTCATTGGAATATATTACCATAGGATTTTTCGTTGGAATACAACAATTTTTTTGTAGTTCACCCCTAGCTGACACTCCACATTTAATGCGTCATCACTTTTTCTTTGTATAAATATCGACCCTTGGGTCCATAAGAGACAATTAATTAGGGAATCGATCACCATATACATGAATATTATTGATCTTTTGAGATCATACACTACAAATATTCGGTTGTATTCATGCAATGGTTCAATAAAAATTATGGAGAACAATCTCTTTGTCGATTGCCAAGCCGATCGCCAACATAAATGTCCTACTTCTGTTTAAGCATATTTACTTCATTACAATCTTTTCATATTGTGTATCTCTAAAACATACCATACTTATACCGTCATTCTCACTTAAATCGCTCTAAACACATTTATCGTAACCATTGGCGATCCACCATCAAATAGTTGTTTCTTTTTTGGTTCATATATACCAAGAAACATGAGGGCCTCTATATTGTACACCAAGAAACACTATATGGTTCTTTCGATGGGCCGACCCGTTTAGTCCAAAAAAAACAACAGGGTTATAAGGGTCTTTTATTGGTAGCTTGTTCAAATCAGGGCCTTTTAGACCCGAACCGTTTAGCCCAAAACCAGCTAGGGCTAGCCCGTTTAACTTAAGTTGGACGGTGTAAATGTTTGCAGCAGGTAAGAAATATGCCCCAAGATTCCTTGTATATTACAATCTTTTATTCTACTTCATATGTGAGTATGAGTTGTAACGGGTTATTATGATTTTGAAAGATAATTATTGACAATTTTGTTATTCTATTTCACACCAAAATATTTAAGTCAATCAGCATGGCTAATACAAACACAAGAGACAAAGACCTAACACATAGAACATAGTGATAGAATCAAAGTTGTTGTATGAAATTTAACAACGATAACAATTTGGAATTAAAGAGAAAAAAGTGTCGATTTTGACCGCTAGGGGCGAGCCCATTTAACATCTCTAATCAACCCACATGGTCGTATACTAGTTTAATTATGTCTCGAAAATGAAAAATATATTAATTATATTGCTTTAATATACTCATCTTGACCTAAAATTATAGTAGCATTTTTCCAAAATTATTTTTTCCTCTCACTAACTTTATTTCAAATTTCTTAATTAATACCCCCAATAGCCAAATAATTGTCCTATATATTTTGATCTTGTGGTAGATCACCATTGGACCCAGATACATTCTATAAATATTTTGCTACCCATTGCCATACTTTACAAAACAATATAAGAGTATGATATGTTTATTATAGTATAAATATGCATATCTTGTTCTATTAGTATGACGGATCGACTTATCTAATAGTTCGATTGTCTTTCACAAGAATTCTCTTAAATATTTTCATAAGCTGGGAAGTAATATTGTTTAATAGTCATATATATATTTTTAAACCAAAATAACATATTATAAAAAAATTAATAAATAATGTAATATTTTATTTTCTATTGAAAAATATAAACATGAAGCCTGATCACATGCTTGCCACAATATATTTGATGGTGCAGTGGGCCAATAAATATTGCCACTGTAGGATATATTTCTCCTACTTTCTGCTGACTGGGAATTTAATACTTTTTTTTTTTGGAACAGTCAAACTTTTTTAATTTAACAAAATAATTTAAACACTATGGGACCCATTCATTTTGGCTCATGTCTGGGCTGCCCATGTTCCATGTGCCTTGATACTTTTTCATTAAAAAAAAAAAATAATCTATTTGTGGGTTTCCACTTTCCTCTTTGTCTGTTATATGTATAATTACATTAAAATGATTATTATTAAGCTACTATCTTAAGTTCTTGGGCTAGCTGTGGACTTAACTAAGGGTATATATTTAATGATTATGTCTATCTTAGCTTTTGTGACCATGAAGTTATATATATATGTTCTTTTAGGATCATAATAATTTTGTACCTAATCATTAATTGAATAATTCAGGAAAAAGCTATTATTTTTTGTAAATTAATGAAATGATGTATGTGTGTGTGGGTGGGTGGCAATAATTGTTCTGTTTGTACATATTTCAATTAGAATTTGGAAATAACATTCGTTAAAAGTAGGGTTGTAAACGAGTCGAGTCGAGTCGAATTTGAGCTCTTAACGAGCATGAAATGAGCTTAGGGTGCTCGAGCTCGAGCTCGTTAAATTATGTACAAACAGAACTCGGCTCGTTAGTTAAACGAGCTTTAAATGAGCTCGAGCTTAGCTCGTTAAGATCTCGAACTCGAGCCGAATCGAGCCAGACTCGTTTAATTTAACAGCACTGATTATATATTATTCCATAATTGTGTTTGTCATATTGAGAATCATATCAAAATAAATGTCATACAAACTAATAGAATTTGAACAAATGCTAATAACAATGGTTTGTCAATCCCTAGGAGATGTCACCTTCTGACTTTAAAGATGTCACATTTTTTTTCTACCCTAATATTTAATTTAATTTATTCACTACTTTAAAGATGTCACATTTTTTTCTACCCTAATATTTAATTTAATTTATTCACTTATCTATTTTTTTTTTCCGGTATAAATCTCTGTTATTGTTATTTCAACATGTGCAAGTGCTTAAAGGTTACATAGGGTTGGTAACTTTTATTGTGCACATCAAGTAACTATATATAGTTACTTAAAGGTACATCGTATTTTCTTTCGGAGTAGTAAATAATATAAATAATAATATAGAGATTGAAAAAATAAAATAAAAAAAAAATTAATGGCCTACTTAATATTTCTTGAATTATATAGTCCTTATGTGGTGAATTAAATATTTCTAAAGGACCCAAAAAAATAATTTAAAAATAAATAAATAAAAAATGAGAAAGCAAGTTGTGAAGTAGTGAGGGTCACATGGTGCATGTGTTTTTTCTGGTGTTTGGAGACCCAAACCAATTCAATGCTTTGTCGCCTGATATATATATTTATCGATGTGCAATTATGTGCTGTGTGCCATTTATCTAACTTTAGACCAATTATAGTAAAATTTCAAAACAAATAAATAAATAACATTATAATTTTATGTAATTATCCACGAATCAGACTATTAGAATATTCGTTTATATAAAAAAAATAGGCATAATTTATAATTGTAGTGGGCTAGTACTCATTCTGTTTTAGGATGGAACTCACCTGGGCTTAATCTGGGTTTTTCCTGTTTTGGAACTTCACTTGGGCTTCAGTTGGACTTTCTCTGTCTTGGCGTACTTGTTAGAAAGGATTTACAAGTGAATATTCTTATGAACACCATCATTTTTTCCAAACTTCAAGTAGATTATCAATTTTCACGTTCTCAAAGCTCCTCCGAAAAATCAAAACGAGATATTTATACGAATTAGAATACTCATGCGAATAATGTTGATATATATATATATATATATATATATATATATATATATCTCAATCATCCATTTCATTTTCTCAAAGCATAATTTTGTACCCAATCTAGTTATGAAATCCATAATCAATCAACATCGAATAAACCTTCCTCAACGTCTACGAAGACATGTTGTCTACAACAAGCACGGTAAGACAAATTTACTAAAGATAAAAAAAAAATAAAAAAAAAAAATAGTAGTAACCAATTAAGAATTTCATGTAAGCATGTGCCAAGGTTCAATTTAAAATTCTCATATTCCGAAATTTACTCCAAGAAGGACACTACATTAAAAAAAAAAATTGTAATATGAAACGACTAAAACATTAGGCATGTTGGCTTATTATACTTTTTACAATAAAAATATATGAAAATGTTACAATCCCGTTACGGAACCATTCCGTCGGGATTTCTAACTGTTAGATCTTCATGTAACCGTCGTGGATAGTTGATTTAATGTTTACCAATCCCAACGAAATATTTTCGTAACGGGACTGTAACATCTCCCAAAAATATATGCCTACATTATAAAATATTACATTTTTTATTTAAATTTAAATATATTTTGTTAGAAAATGACATTTTATTACAAAAATATATTAATACATTTTTGGGTGTATATATCAATCAAAATATACGACGGGTCATTTTCATTCTCCACTTGTTGCTTTTTTGTAGATTACGATGAGATGAGTTGTGGGCAGTAAAAAATTAATAAAATTATTTTATTATTAACTGATGATCGATCGATCCCACAATTTCACATCCAGAAGCTCGATCGCCTTACCTATCTGTAATCATCACAATTATTATTCTAAATACGAAACTAGACAAAAAAAAAA